TGGTTGCTTGAAAAGGAGAAGCATGGGGTGGGAGAGAACGTTACTTGGTGAAAATTCGGCTGAAGGCAGGGCTGAGTTTGTCTGGTAAACTCTTGTGAGTTCTTAAGTAGTCACAAACATTTAAAAATCAGGAGATTTCAAATATAATCCCAGGCGTTTTATTCCAGCGGGAAACTGCCCCAACACGTGAGCCCGTACTCTTGCAGGCAATAGGCGTTCAAATAAAAATAAGGCCTGAAAGAGCTCTTGGAGGCTGGGGGGTGGAGGAACCCTCAGAGAAAACATGACCAGTGCACGGTCATCCCAACGCAGGGGCAAGTGCAGTAGTTATTTTGTGCAGACAGTGCTTTGGAGCTCTCAAAGCAGGAGCCATTAGTTCTGCTTGGGGAAATCCAGAAAGGTTTTCTGGAAGAAGTGATAGCTTGGCTGAGTCTGAACGGATGAGTGTGAAGGAGTTATCCAAGGAGCGGAGGGGAATGGAAAGGTATTGCCAGCAGGGGCCGGGTATGGGTGCAAGAATGTCCTGAGTAGGACTCAGAATGTGGACACGCTCTCGTGGGGCCGAGCACAGGATACGGGGCTGGGAAGGGCCAGTACAAAAGCTGGTAATATCGACAGTGGCCCGATAGCAAGGATCCAGATCTGCTGAACGACTTGGGAATTGATCTAGAAAGCGATGGAGTAGCATGGTGGGGGGGAACGGGGTTAAGCAGGGGAGGGACATTGTTCAGGTGGTGTTGTTAGAGGCTCACTCTGATGGCGGTGGGAAAAATGGGTTGGGTAAGGGGAGAGGCTAGAGGGCTATAGGACAGCACCTACCCCAGGAAAGGAAGTCACCTTCTACTCACCATCCCCACACCTGGCAATGAAGCTAGCTTCCCAGCCGGCCAGGAGAAGTGCCCCCCAGAGCTGAGAGGGTGGATGTGACTCAGCTAGTTTTTGGCATGGAGACAGCAGCAGTGAGTGCCCTGCTGTGCTTGTTCTCTGACCACCAGTGAATGTACCCCAGTGCCTCATAAGGAGAAACGCCTTTCCGGGAGGAAGCGAGGCCACCATACATGCATTCTATTCTAACCCAGTACATCCAACTGTAAACTCCTTTTGGCTTATATGTCTTCCCTCCCTCTAGGGACGAGCAGCAACTGACACACAGTAGGTGCTCAGTGAACATTTAGTGACCTGAAACAGGGATGCTTCTACAGGATCTGGCCAGTCGCACATTCTGACCCTATATGAGACCCAGAGTACTGTGTTTTCTTCTTTTTTTTAAAAAAATTTTTAAATGTTTACTTAGTTTTGAGACACACACACACACACACACACACACACACACACACACACGGAGTGCGAATGGGGGGAGGGGCAGAGAGAAAGGGAGACACAGAATCAGAAGCAGGCTCCAGGCTCTAAGCTGTCAGCACAGAGCCTGATGTGAGGCTCCATCCAATGGAGCTCGAGATCATGACGTGACCTGAAGTCTGATGCTTAACCCACTAAGCCACCAGGCGCCCCAAGTACTATATTTTCTAACCAAAAAATCACATGGGGTTTGGTCAGAGACCTTGACATTTTCAGTCTTGGTTCAGCCACTCAAGAGCTCCATGTCTGTGAACAAGCCACTTAACCTTGCTGAGACCCAATTTGCTCACCTATTAAAAAAAAAAACAAAACACTAAAGTTTTCTAGGAGTAGAAGAAGGCACGTGGAAGAACTCTACAAACAGGAAAGTACTGTATGACCTAATGTGGCATATCCATAAAATGGAATACTATTCAGCCAAATTAAGAAGTCCTAATATCTGCCTCCCATATGGGTGAATCTTGAAGACCTGATGGTAAGTGAAAGAAGCCAGACATGGGTCACATCTGGCATGATTCCCTTTATACCAAATGTCCATAATAGGCAAATCTATAGATACATAGAGCAGATTAGTGGTTTCCAGGGTGCTAGGCCGGGAGAAAGGAATAGACGTTGCTTAATGGGTAGGGGGTTTCCTTTGGGGATGATGAACATATTCTGGAACTAGATGTGTGATGGCTGCACACCTTTGTGGATGTACTGAATGCCACTGGATTGTATATTTTTAAATGGTGAAAATGGTAAATTTTATGTTTGTGTACCTTACCACAGTAAAAAAGCTCCCCCAAAAGTGCTATGTGTGGGTTAAGGATCTTGAGAAGCCATTAATTCTTACGTTTTACATGCAGTATCCAATCCATCTTTTGGCCTGCAGAGAACTTGGGCATCCCCACTAAGGAGCCTCTTTCTAAGAGAAGCGCTGGAGTGGGGGTAGGGGAGGAAAGGAGGAGGTAAGGGGCATCTGAAAAGGGAAGCTGGATGGTATTTGTTTCGTAGATTGCCAGTTGTTCACCCTGTTTGTATTTAAATGAAAGGAGGCTTTGAAGTGGGAGCCGCCTCTGAGCAGGGCTTGGGGTTCCTGTCTTGTGCGGTAAAAGTTCAGACTTGTCCAGATCCGTTTCTAGCCAGAGGTTATTGTTTCTGGTGGGAAAGGCTCAAGTTTTGGTTAATAATACATGAACTGGAAAAGCAGGAGTAAATGGGGGGCGGGGTGGGGTGGGCAAGGAATGAGTTCCCCCTGGACTGATGAAAAGAAGCTTTCGGATTTGGGCTCCATAGTTTGGGAGTATCTTTTTTTCACTTACGGTCACTGGATTTTATTTTATTATTAATGTTGGTTGCATCTCAGATCAGAAGGTCTTCGGTAAAGAACCTCTTTAAGTGAATGTGTCGATCAATGAAAGGTAAAAGTGCTAGGCTAAGCCCTAGCAATAACTTGAAGACCTGATGGAATCAGTTTGAGAAAAACCTGGACTATTTGAAAGTCTGTTGAAAATGGCGGGAAATTCACTTGGAGTAGAGTTTGCATATTTAGAAAAACTTCTCTGCTAGTTGCAGGGTTAAGTGTTCTGCCAACCCACAGAGATTGCAAGTTCCACCGGTCACAATCTTGATCATCTCCAAGAATTAATAAAATGTCAAGAGTCAGCAGTGGGCATTCAAAACAACAGCTAATCTGAGTTTCTACAACTCCACAGAGCCAACATGTCAACGTGGTTTACAAACATCAGTGGACGAAGTCTCAACAAACCCTATGAGGGTGATAATTGTAATGATAGTTCGTATCTTCACCCTATGTAATTTTATGGGAATTGAGGGTCTAGCCAAATAATAAGTTCCAGCCCCTTTTATCTGCCCAGTTCTCAGCACACTCCTGAGGTGTCTGAGGCACTTCTCACCCTAACCTCTTAAAGCAGATTGTAACAATAACAAGGGTAATGACAAGTTCCCAATCTGCACAGTTCCCTTCATTAAAGGAGCCCTGGGAGCTTCAAAAACACTCATTAATGGAATCTGACAAAGCTGGGAAGGTGGAAAGACTCACCCATTTCCAGTTTTCTGGTGGCTAAGTGGAGACTGGGTCCCAGAGAGGTGTGAGTCTGGCTCAAGAGGCTTGAGGGTAGAGGGGAATTGGGGGTTTTGGGCTACCTTTATCCATGTGACCTGGGAGTGTAGCCTAGGGTTCGGAACTCACAACCTAGCTGCATGCTATTAGCAAGTCGCCTCCCTTTTCTGGGCCTCAGTTTCCCTACTTGCACAAGGAGGGTTTGGGCCAGGTTTCCAAAGGCTCCGAGGTCATCCCAGACTGTCCCATCTTCTTGAGCTGGCCGATTGCTGGAGGCCTGGGGGAGGGGGGCGCGGGGGGAGGTGGTGATGGTGGTTTTCCCACTTCAGCGTTTGGTTAGCAGAACCAGGCGGGTCTGGGGGAAGCTGGGGAGGAGAATCCCTGGCGGGGTTCGGCTCCTGGAGCACCGCTGGATGGGAAGCAGGTCTGAGAGGGCCAGGTGAGGGTCTAGGGCCAGCTCTGAGTCCCAAGTGCCCTGGTGCCTGCAGCAAAACAATTCGAGTCATGCCAGCGTCTTCCTCTCCTGGCCCAGAAACGGGGCAGTTAGGGGCGTCCTTGGGGCTGCCGGGCGGCCGGCGTGGGGAGGGGGGGCGTACAGGTATCGAGGTGGGAGGGCTCTGCCCGGCTTTGGCCCACGGTCAGCGAGTCAGGTGGCCGAGCGCAGAAGGCCTGTGACTTCGCAGAAGGACCGGGGCTTCGGGACGAGCGCCCAGGGGCGCGGTCCCCCAGGACTTGGGCCCTACACCCCGCAGAAGTTAGCCCTCCCTCTTCGGGTGGGGGGCGGCGAACATCTCCCCGCCTCCCGGGAGGAGGGGAGGAGAGAAGGGGGGGAGGAGGGGAGGAGGGAGGAGCCTCGCGGGGCGTGTCGCGCGAGGGAGCGCCGCGCGCCCGGTGCGGCCCCCTAGGAAGTGGATTTGGCCGCTCCGGATCCCAGCCCGCCTCCAGGTTTTCTCCCGTCCCGGCCCTGCGTGCTCCCGCCCGTCTCCGGCCCCCCCCCTCCCCAGCCGCCCGCCCCCTCCCCGAGTGCCGCCCGCTGGGCCAAGTTTGCCGAGCGTCGCCGCGCACGCCGGCCAGTCAATCAGCGGCGGAGCTGAGGAGGGCACAGCCGCGCGGCCGCGGGCGGAGTGAGCCGAGCCGAGCCGGGAGAGCGGACCGGCGCCGGGCAGCCCGAGCAGCGCGCAGCGAGCGCCCGCCGCCGCCCACGCCCTCCGCGGCGCCTGCCACCTTCTCCTCCTTCCCCGCGCCTCTGTCCCGCCGCCGGCCGGCTCAACCCCGGCCGCCGCCCCGCGGAGCCCGGAGCCCACCGGCCCCGCGCCTCCGCTCCCGAGGGCCGCGCGCCGCCTCCACGCCCTCCGCCTCCGCCTCCTCCCCCGGCCGGGCGCCTGGCACCGGGGACCGTTGCCTGACGCGCGAGGCCCAGCTCCACTTTTCGCCCCGCGTCTCCTCCTCTCGCCGCTCTCCTCCAACTCCTGCTCCAACTCCCTCGCCCTCTCGCTCCACTCGCGAGCCCCCGGCCCCGCGCCCGCCACTCTCCCCCGGCCCCAGAGGTGGGAGCGCGTCGGCCCCGGCCCGCACCATGGCCCGGTTCGGCTTGCCCGCGCTTCTCTGCACCCTGGCCGTGCTCTGCGCCGCGCTGCTGGCTGCCGAGCCCAAGTCGAAAAGTTGCTCGGAAGTGCGACGGCTCTACGTGTCCAAAGGCTTCAACAAGAACGATGCCCCCACGCACGAGATCAACGGTAGGTGGGAGCCCCCGGGAGGCGAGCGCGGCGGCAGGCACCCCGGGGGAAGGGGTCGCGGGGTCCCCCCCGCGCGGCCGCAGGTAGCCCGGGGCAGGGGGAGCAATGGGCAGGCGGGAGAGGGCGCAAGAGCGAGTCGCCGCACCGCGCGGCCCTCGGGGACTGCGAGTGGAGGGGCGCCGCGGCCGGGCCCGGTGCCACCCCGCGTCTGTTCCCGCCCCGCCGCGTCTTCCCGGTCCCAGCGAGCCCCGAGGACTCTGGCCCCGCAAAGTGCGTGTCATCGGCTCCCTCTCCTTTTCCGGATTGAACTCCTTACTGGGCTCCCCGCTTTGTTGTGTGGGTGACGAGAGGCCGGGCGTGGGGTGAGGGTCGCTAGTGGGGTGTGTGTGTGAGGGGGGGCAAACTAGAGCTTGCCAGATTCCGGGGGACGCCAAACGTGGAACTTGACTGGAGGTTTCATTGATGTTCTTTAAAAACCCTCTCCCCGCGCCTCTTCCACGGCTGACGGGGGTTAGGAGTTTTAGTAGGTCCAGCGGCTTTAGAAGCCGCCTTTAAAAAGCAAACGACTTTCCAACCCACCAAACCCTGACTTTTGGGAACTCTCCTGCTTTCCGGAAGGCACTGGACGGGTAGGGTACTTCCCCCACCCCCTTTCTTTTTTCTCACCTCATTTTCAGGGTTAATTGCACATTCAATTACAAACCTTTGAAAGGACTGACTACAGGAAACCTGAATCTCAGTTTGGAGATGGTTATGCAAATGGAGACGCCTTAGCCTGTGAAAAAGTTCACCGGATTTCGGCGCTGGGGGGTGCGTGGCGTGTCGGTGGAAGCCCCTGTCGGAGCGCAGGGGAAGCGGCTTTTCGGCGGGCACCCCTCGCCCCTCCTCGCGAGGCTGGCGGCGGCCGGCGGATCCCCTCCGGGTCGCGGTCTCATTCGCCCAGGGCAACTGTTGCGCGCAGCCCCGCGGGCCGCGCCAGGGCCAGCGGCGGCGCAGGTAGCCGGTTCGCCCCGAGGCTTCAGAGAGAGCCTCGAATCTAGCTGGCTGGTGGCCAGCGTAACCTAACGGGGAAGGGAGCGATTCGAGCCCCCGGGGGCCAAGCCTCCATTCCGAACCTTTCATGGAAGTGAGCAGAGCGCGCCTTTGCCTCGCGGTGCTGGTCACCGGGGTGGGGCGGGCAGGGGGCCGGCGGCCGGCGGCCAGCGAAGGAAATACTGTAATTTCAACCAGGCGCTTGTAGAGGCTTAGGAAGATGTGGGGGTCATTTTTTGGAAGGGCTATTAATAACCTTGGAGATTAAGTGCAGTCATCAATTACATATAAATTACAGAGGTAATTGAGGGAAGTCGCGGGGCACTTTCCGAGTGTATTCTGCATCTGTCTAGAAATAGAACTCAAGAAATTGTTGGAGCAGCCTAGGAGCTCACTGCACCTTGGCAGTTACCGAATAATTCGCACGCCACTGATGAGAGACAGTTTGCCCTTGAGCTGCTTGTCTTTTTGGGAACTCAAGTATGTCCTCACAGCGGCACGATTTTATTGGTTTAGAGCCCTGAAAAGCCTTCTTTCTTTCCCCTCTCCCTCCCACCCCGCCCGAAAAAGTGAAGTGAACCAGCAGCCCCTGAAGCTTGGGGGCTCCACAGGTCAGACCTGGGGTCTTTGTGCCCCGCACGTCTTGGGGCCTGGGCCCAGCAGAGATGATTGGCGTGAAGGTTACAGTTGTCATTCCCACATTTTGAAGGGATAGATGCGGCGATGCACTTAATGGGAATGTGACAAGTTTTCATCTTCTGCTCCTGCAAACAATATGTGCCTTTGAGCCGGACTGGAGGCTTTCAGGGAGTGGGTTGTGAAATTGCCCTCCCTGCTTTCTCCAACTTGGCTCCGTGCGGGCCAAGGATGGCAGGACATCTTCCCCAGCCAGCATCTCCGGAAAAAGGAAGTTTGAAGGGTGCTCAGGGAAGGTGCTAGGTGTTCCCTCTGATTGTCCTGGTCCCCGGCAAACACCTGAGACACCTGAGCGATAGTTTTGCATAAATGTCTATCTGGACATTCCCCCCACCCCCCACCCCAAACATAGGAGAGTTATTAGCGACCAGCAGCAGGAAATGGAAGCTAATGTGCTCACACCCAAAACATTTTATTCTTTTTGTCTTGTCCTTCATCTCCCTCCCAGGGCTGCTGCTTTTATTTCCCCTTTTGAATGACCTACTGGACTGCATTCTCCTGAGGAACAAAGGAAGTGCCTTTTTAGCTGGAATCCTTGGAAGACCACCAAGGACTTTAGCTCAGGCAGTGCAATTTCGCACCACTTTCAACAATAACAAAAATGCATGACTGAATGGCTCAAAAATGTGGAGTGTTAGAGGCATTCATTTGAGCCTAGGACACTGTCACAACACAGACAGACCCAAGTAAATACCTTTAGACGGCCAGTATAGAAATGGGTAATCTTTACCATCGCCCTGGCCTGTCCAGATGCATACATTAGCCTTGTCTTCCCCTGGGCTACACTCAGATAGTTTTGGTGACTTGTGTTCGGATTCAGCCCGTGTCCGAATGAATGGCTAGACACTTTCTCTGGCCAGGGTGGGTGGGTGGGGGTGTGTCTGTCTGTCTGTCTGTCTGTCTCTCTCTCTCTCTCTCTCTCTCTCTCGAGGGGTGGGGTGATCTATTTTTTTTTTTAAGTGCAAAAAGTCCAGGATTGTTTTCCATGCAAAGGGTCACAAGGTCTGGGTGCCTAGCTCCAGGCTTCGCCCAAGTTTAAGGTTTTATTCCTGATGGCCTTGTACTTGCTTTCTAGAGGTTTGAACAGGCTTGAAGAATACTGTGTTCTTAAGGAGTCTCAGTCTTTTTAGATCATAATTAAGATAATTTGATGTGCTCTCAAGGGTATCAGGGAGTATATCATGCTGACAGCGCTTACCCCTGCATTGCCTATCCGCTTGACCCCCGTTCTTATCAAATAATGGGTAGATCAAAAGGGATCTTTAACACAAAGGATAGGTTTTTGTTCAGCTTTCAATGGGCATATCTTTTTGGAGCACCCTACTATGTGCAGTATTGTGTGCTCGGTCGTCGAGGCAGCACGAAGGGTCAGAGAGGTCTCTGCCACCAGGGCCTTTCCAGGTAGCGGTCGTCGAGGCAGCACGAAGGGTCAGAGAGGTCTCTGCCACCAGGGCCTTTCCAGGTAGCAGGGAGATGAGCTGTACGTAATTGGTGTGGGAAGTGCCATCTGAGTGGTGCAGAGGAGGAGCAAGGGGTGCCCACAAGAGTTCCAAGGGAGAAGGGATTGGGACCAGATTATCATCTAAGTAATGCCAGTTTGCTAGTAAAAAGTGATAATCGGAAATTTAACAGTCTGTTTACACTGTGCTTCCCCTCCAAAAGACAGGTTGATGTAGAGAGATGCAGCAGTTGGCATCTGATGTTATTTTTTATTTCTTTAAAGTTTTTATTTTCAGGAATTTCTGCACCCGACATGGGGCTCGAACTCATGACTCTGAGATCAGGAGTCACATGTTCCACCCGCTGAGCCAGCCAGGCGGCTCAACCATTGGCACTTTATTCCTAATCTAATTTTTGCTGAAATTGCCTTTAAGAGCGAGGCAGTTGGTTAGAGATCTTTATTTTTACTCTTTATTTTTGAGAGAGAGCATGCGAGCGGGGTTGGGGCAGAGGGAGAGATTTGGAAATGGGCTCCACACTGTCAGCACAGAGCCCTATGCAGGGCTCGAACTCACAAGCCATGAGATCATGACCTGAACTGAAGTCAGATGTTTAACCGACTGAGCCACCCAGGTGCCCCTAGAGATATTCTTAAGCTTGCCATCGGTCTCTTTCATAGGGACATGAAGGATAAAGGAGAAGTTTGTGTCATAGTTGTGATTTTGGAGTTTGTTTCCAGTTCCCATTTATGTCTGTAAGCAATGCACTTGCAGGCACATGCACACATATTTGCACACGTATGCCTCAAAGGATTCTGGGAATGACAAGCTGTCTTAGGATTATGTGGCAAAAAGTGTACATGTGCATTGGAGAGGTAGGCATACTTTTTAGGAATTTATTTTAAAGCATCCATGAGTGGGGGAGAGGGGCAGAGAGAAAGAGAGAGAGAGAGAGAGAGACAGACAGCATCCCAACCAAGCAGGCTCCATGCTTAGCACAAGGGCTCCACCCCACCATCCTGGGATCATGGCCTGAGCCGGAACCAAGTGTCAGATGCTCAACCAGCTGAGCCGCCCAGGCTCCCTGGTAGGCATATTTTCTGTTACCGAGTTGATTATCGTATGTAAGACAGCATATGTCCTCAAGATTTACATTTCCTCTTTCCCACTTAAGTAGGTGGTGGGTTGGATTTTGCAGAGAACTTGTGATCTTCTATTCTGTTGGAATCCTCAGTTTGGTTTCCCTGAAGAAAGAGGGTCTAGTTGGGCCACAGAGCCCGTCAGTATAGAGGTTGTCCCAAGTAATATAGGAACTATTTCCTGGACGTGCTCAAAACAGAACAATGAAAGTTCTGGCTTATGCAGCTCAATCTGTAGTTAGAACATACAAATATAAGATGTTTGATTCAGTATAATTACTATTTTCCTTTTTGATTGGACTCACACTGGGTTGCATGCAATTTCAGGATTAGCTGGAGACTAGACTGAAGAATGGAAAGGAAGTTTCTTGTTGTCTCTACCAGGGAAACAACATCAGTGTTAATCTGAATCAGTTGGAAGGGACTCTCTGGCTCCCCAGTAACATTGACTGCTTTAGTACTGGGGTGGTTCCCACATGTGTTCACAAAACGTGTGTTTTGGCCTCATGAAAAGAGCTTGAAGCTATGGACTGCTTTCTCTGGACCTGGTCCCCAGCTAAGGGCTTTACATACTATCTCATTTAAAACCCACAACAACCATATGAAGGAAGAAGTATTATTATCTTCATCCTCCTCTTTTTACGAGACAAGAAAACAGATGCAAAGGGATCTGCAAAGAGATTCGCAGTCTCAC